TCCGCGAAACTAAAAAGGTTGGGAACCGCTGAGTTAATGTAATTGAGGATAGGACAGCGTAAGCATTACTTACATCAGTTACATCTACAATATATGACCTACTCAAAACAAAGTACCCTTGAACTCTATTATACTATAAAATGACTAGGTAGTCTAGTTAATTTCTTAATATTTATTTATGTTTTGGACAAAATTCATTAATAACTAACATAACTAACATGGTATATTGGTGTATTGTATAAAATATATTTTATCGTTTTATATTTTATTCAATATACTCGTACATTCAATACAATATAGGTATTATATAATAGCGTATAGATTTGCAACTTTATTTCAATGAATAGTTTTTATTTATAAACTATAGTTTATAAGATACTGTGGCTCAGACACTCAGTTCCTACTTCCTACACAAAAGACAGTGAGATTCAATTCGTAAAAGTAGTTCAAAACTTGAATCTTATAATAGTGACTTATAAGGCTTACAAACCAGAACATACTGAATCTATTAAACGTCAATTTATAAATATGAWATTGAAATGTCACATAACTCATATTATTACTATTATATTATTTTTTTTCCGTATTAAATCACCACATGGGAGCCGAACTGTTTTAACATTGCTTAGGTCCAAAAACATTGCTTAGCTCCTTTACATTGCTTAGCTCCCTATTATATTATTTATACATAGAAAGTTCAACGATATTTCTGGATTATTTTCAAAATTAAAATTAAGACACTAGATAGGTTGATATATTTATTTAATTATAAGTAATAAATAATAATCGATTATGCAGATGYATATGTATACCATCATTTTTAGGACAAGTCTTTTTMATCTATAAAGTACCAAAAGCTAAAATAAAAACAAAACAAAGTCGTTGAATATATTATTTTTCAACTATATTAATCCTTATATATATATACAAAAGAACAGGTCTTTTTTATGTACCAATTTTATGACGGCGCTGTTTAACTTTTTACCAATTTTTTTTTCACAGAGTTGTTCCAAATCCCTTTTTGAGTGTCACCATGTCGCCCGATTTTCAAAATTTTGAATTTAAAGGATCGAATCAGCAAAAATAAATTTTTATGTGTAATTTGTTGATCTATATTCATTTAATAATAACAATAGCAGTCGACCGATAACGAGAAATAGAGTACGACACGCCCGACACGGTGGCCCGAGGGTTTCCATCTACCTATACTCTGACCTTTTTTTTGTGTGTGTATAATTTATCAACGATTTGATATGAATTTTTCCGAAGCTATATATTTTATGAGTTGTATAGAAAACACCGACTAGCTCAATTATTAAAGAAAATGCGTTATCTAAAAAAAAATAAATACATTTACTATCGAAATACGAAATAGAATCATTTGAAAATGATATTATTTTAGATTCTGAGCGGAGCGATGAATGTATTGATTTTACCATGATGTGTGT